AAAAATGGGTTTAAAAGACCTGAGTGTAATAGGTTGGAATTAGGATTTATAAGTTATTGGGCTACATAATTTTTTATTTTTATTATTATTATTATTATTTTGCATAAGCCCAAAACAATTAAGGGAGTGTTTGACGGCCATTTTATGTAAAAACGCATTTTAGAATAGTAACTTGATGAGAAGTGTGTGGTTGAAAAATAAGAAAAAAAATTTGATTTACGTGTAATATTATTTTAATAAAGAATGTGTGATTGAAAAGAAGAGAGGAAAATGCATTTTGAAAAAAGGATAATGCTACTAGTATAAAGTAGCTTGACAAAGGAGGCTTACAAAGTGACGTGTACAGCTCATATCAAAAGGCATTGGACGGCTGAGATGTAGGCAGAATCTTTACCCATTTACTGACCCATTCAGAAATTCAAACGCCATTTACTACCCATTTAGAAATTGAAACCAGAATAGAAGAGAGACGAAAATTCTCAAATTAGGGCGGCAAAAGCGAAGCGGGATTCCGATTGATTTTCACGTTATTTGTTTCATCGACGAATCCGGCATTGAACGTGATTGCTCCTCCTGTCCATCTTCTCCATCCGTGAAACTGGGTACGGTATGAATTTTTGGTTGGAATTTTGTTGATTAATTTGAGCTGAAATTTTAGTCACCAGTTATATGTATAGAATGTTAAACATTGCTAGGCATGGAAATTTTAGAATTTTGGTAGGAATTTTGTTGAAAGTTTAAGCTGAAATTTTAATTACCAATCAACAGTACCTATATCTTTCACGTCTCGGTCTCTCTTACGAAATATTCCAAAATTTATTTCCAGTAATGCATGATTGTTCTCTGTCATTACCCATTTTTGCATTACCAGGTGAGAAGGGTTCTAAAAGGTGGGGCAAACTTTATTTGTCTTACCTTAGCAGAAAGTCCAATAGGAGTGGTGATTTTCCATAGTTTATACATGATGAATACCTTTATATTTTGCTGTTCCCTAATATATTCATAATTATAATTAACATCGTTTGCATAATGGCTAATGCAAAGAGTTAAGTTTTGTTTTGATTACATGAAATTCTTGCAGAACTATTTTTTTTTCTCACCGTAATGTCCCGTTCGGAAAGGTATTCATTCTTTTAGGCCTTTTGTCTGGAAAAGATTGAGTTTAGGATCATGATTGCAGAAGAGAAATTTTGGTTCGATACGAATAATCACGTGTTTGGAAAATCTAATAAAAAATGGAGTTGTGGACAATGAAATATTTGGAAGAATTCCTATTGTTGGTATGGGCGGAATAGGAAATATAACTCATCAAAGCTGCTCTTTCTCCTTTAAAACATCATTTCAATCCATTTTCAAAGGTACACTTCGTATATAATAATCTGGTTTTCATTATGCAAATTAGTTAGCTAAAATTCTTTTGATGATGAAAATGAAAGTACTGATTTTATTTTCCTTTGTAAATCTGGTTTTAACGCAAATAATTTGAAATGTCTGGTTTATAATATTTGTTCATTATGTATAACCATTATGTTGTTAAAAACTTAATCTGTTTGTATAGACTGATGAATTAAATCTTGAATAGTTCTTCCCTTGATACTAAGTTGATTAATGACTAGTTGTGTGGAGCACTCAGATTACTAATAATCTAAGATTATCATCATAATCTTATTTGCAATTGTTTGATTATTTTCTTTTACGCTTTTGAGTACACCACTGGATGTTTGATCATATTTTTTTTGAATGCAACGGAAAATGGTATATCGTTGAGAAGCTAACACACAATCTCCATTCTCTTTGCAGAATATGTAGCAACTCGAGTATCCGGAAGCAACTCATAATAGTCGTGATATGATGTGCTTCACCACTCACCGAAAGAGTAGATACCAATAAAAATAGGCACAAACTATTCATGGAAATGAAGTCGTGAACAAAAACTTGAGACCTTGGTTCTATTTTCACCCAATTGTTGGGTGAAATTTGAGTGGGCTAGCAGTGGAAAAAGTAGTAGCGTGAATGCCTTTTGTGAAGCTATGAAATTGCGTTGTGAGGCAAAGGATTATCAGTTCTTATGGAGGTTCCATAAGAGTTGAAATAGCCAGAGCAGACTATAGAAGTTCTCTAAATATATATACACATGTAAATAAGCTTGTGGAGGTGGCCTATTGTCTATCTCTGAAAAAAGTTTTATGATCTACATGGTTTTCTTATGTATAAGAAATGGAATTAATGTATGTAAATATTAGCAAGTATAAAATTCTTGTTTTCTCCTTGAAACAGTGATAGATGTTCTAATATATATAGATTACAAATGCACACTGAATTCACGATCTAAACACTCACTAGAAGAGTGTCATGATGGTGTTGAAAGTTTTACCTCCATCATAATCCCAAATTTGAAGCTAGTCTTTCCATTTATCAACAGTAGGACATTTCTCGGTTCTTGCTAGTCTATGTTTGAACTAACTATAATCGAAACACGTAAATTTTAATAAATTTGGATGTGTTTAAACTAAACATAACCATCACATTTAACAAACTCCAAACTCTTGTTATTATAATTAACCAAACATTCAATGTGCTAGTAAGACAAGGTACCTGAAGTAAGTCATCCATTTCAACCAAAATCTACCAATTCATTGCACTACACTAAAATAACAAATTAAGATTTTGACCTTGCAGCTATTTAACTTAACATAACTAGTTCGACATAACCCACTAATCATGCCATGTTCGTCCATTTTCCCTAGCTAACTGCCACATTCACATTCACATTCACAAAAATCAAGAGCTCTTCTTCGTTATTTAGCCCCTAATAGTACTGGAGTTGAGCGATTGCCAGAGATGTGACGACGCCGGAAGCACAAAGAGACTGCGGGAGCTGAGCATTTGCCGAAAATTGTAGTTCTGCAAGAATTTCATATAATGAAAACAAAACTTAACTCTCTGCATTAGCCGTTATGCAAATGATGTTAATTATAATTATGAATACATTAGGGAACAGAAAAATATAAAAATATTCATCATATATAAACTATGGAAAATCACCACTCCTACGTGATTTGCTAAGGTAAGACAAATAAACTTTCCCCGACCTTTTAGAACCCTTCTCACCTGGTAATGCACAAAAGGGTGATGCTAGAGAACAATCATGCATTACTGGAAATAAATTTTGGAATATTTTGTAAGAGAGACCGAGACGTGAAAGATATAGGTACTGGTGACCGGTGATTAAAAATTTCAGCTTAAACCTTCAACAAAATTCCAACCAAAATTCTGAAATTTCCATGCCCAGCAATGCTTAACATTCTATACATATAATTGGTGACTAAAGTTTCAGCTCAAATTAAACAACTAAATTCCAACCAAAAATTCATACCATACTCGGTTTCGGAGATGGAGAAGATGGACTGGAGGAGCAATCACGTTCAATGTCGGATTCGTCGATGAAACAAGCAACGTGAAAATCAATCGGAATCCCGCTTCGTTTTTTGCCGCCCTAATTTCAGAATTTTCGCTGCTCTTCTACTCCGGTTTCAATTTCTAACTAAATTCTAAGTGGGTAGTAAATGGGGTTTGAATTTCTGAATGGGTCAGTAAATGGTTTAAGATTTCCGCCAACATCTTAGCCGTCCAATGCCTTTTGATCTGAGCCGTACACGTCACTTTGTAAGTTTCCTTTGTCAAGCTACTTTGTACAAGTATTATTGTTGTTGAAAAAAATGGGTACCAAACTAGGGCTACAAATAATAATAATAAAATGATAGTCATAATAGTAATAATAATAATAATTGGAAAATTACATAACTACCTAGATTTAAAGATACAATTTCAACTTTGACAAACACGTTCCTTTCAAAAATCAAGTGGTACAAATTAAATTGTTAATTATATATATTTTATTAATTAAATAGGTAAGGTCACAATAAGGTACGATTTATAGTCACAATTACGTAATAGTCATAATCATATAATGTCACAGTTCACAAATCACAAATTTTATAAGAGAAGTGCTACATTTACATAATAGTTTACATAATGGTATCCATAATTACACGTGGCACTGGATCCAACCTTTAATTCAAATCTAACACTTGTACATCAACAATCGGATGATTGCCACATCACATTATGGATACCATTATGTGCAATAATTATATACAAGTAGAATTTTCCATTTTATAATATCAATTTATAAAATTGGTTGTCATGTCTTATTTGTCGGTTACAAATCATAAATTTTATAAGTCACAACTTATTTCACGATTACAAATTATCAAATCAGTTGGTCACGAGTTATTCCCCAATAAAAAATTATCAAATTAATTGTTCACAACTTATTTTATGATCACAATTATCAAATTAATTAATCACAACTTATTTGTTGATTATGAAGAAACAAATTGGAGTCATAAATACAAATTTACTCACAAATTATATAATTTTAGGTCATATATTATTTATTCGTCAAAATTTGTTCATTTTACCGGTATCAATTACCCAATAGTTTGGTCACAATCACTCTTCATCCGACCCATTACCGCCCTACAATCTTCAGCACTGTAAAAAACATCAATTCCATCAGCACCACCACCCGTGTCAGCACTACAACACCACCATCGCCACCAAACCATTACTACCACCTCCAAATGCACCACACAAAGATCACCGTACACATATCAACACTATAACCCATCATCACTGCTTCCAACCATACCACACATCGCACAAACAGATCACCCATCGACGCTGTAGATCAATACACAGGAAACGACTATCGCCTACCATCACTGCAGATCAATACACAGGAAATAGTGACTATACACATAGATTGGTACATAAGAAGTAGTAGCGCTCGTCCCCGTTGTCGCAGCGATGATAGGCGAGTGCCAAACAGACACTTGTCTTATCATGGCTTCAACATCATTTTCTCAATAAAATCATTTGATTCAATCTGTACCGTCAACATTGAAATTCCCTTCCAAGACATAGTTGCGCGGGCATTGAACTTTAAATACACTTCAAGCATCAGTATTATCCAGCAAGAAAATAATTCTTCAGGAAAACCATGAAACTCTATACAATGAGAGAGAAAAAATCAAAGCCCTTTGATACTTTGATGTTTTACTGCGACAAAACTTAATAATAATGACATGTGATTTTTGTTTGCAGTTTTTAACTATGAACTTCCTCCTTTCCGAATTCTAATTCCGTATCGCGTACTGTAGAGTGTATACTGTTGTCTTACCTTGGACCAGAGAGCTCTATGGCTTGTATGAGTAATAAAGAGTCATTTGTGAGGTCTGAATATCGTTCTGATAAGATGAGCTCTTGTGATTTATTCTTGCTCGCTTCTGCTCTCTGAGAAGCTTCCCATCTTTCAACAAGTCCATCGCCTTCAAGCATTCGAACCACTTCTGACATCTTTGGTCTATAGCTTGGAAGATATTGGGTGCATAAGAGAGCCACTTGTACCATTTCCTCTAGCTCTATCAGATCGCAATGGCTTTTTAAATCTTTATCGATGAGCAAATCGAGTCTCTTCTCTTGATGTAGTTTCTTCACCTGAGACATGATTTAGCATCAGGTAAATTTATTAGACTTAAGCAAATTTATCAGGAGAGATGAGCTATAAAATTAACGTGCAACTTCAAAATTTGATATTAAATGAAAATTAGAAAACAATAAAGGAATTGTGTGCCAACCCAATCAAGCATTGCTCCTTTCTGATTAGCTGCTTTGCCGAATTCAAGAGCTGTTTGACCTGTGGTCAGTTCAAGTAGAAGGACCCCAAATCCAAAAACATCTGTTTTCTCAGAAGACTGGCCAGTTGAGAGATACTCAGGGGCTATATGCCCTACAGTGCCCCGTACAGCAGTCGTAACGTGTGAATCCTGGTGATCCAAAAGCTTTGCTAACCCGAAATCTCCCACCACTGCTTCACAATAGTCATCAAGCAGTATATTTGCAGCTTTAACATCCCTATGAATTATCTTGGGATCACATTGCTCATGGAGATATAACAGTCCCCTTGCAGCTCCTAAGGCAATTTGCTTTCTCGTGACCCAGTCCAAGACTGGTTTTGCTGTTCAAGTTGAATGTGTCAGGGACACATTACCAAGAGCGATAATGAGGTTAATAATGGAGGAAACGGGAAAGAGAAATATACCGAGACACAGATTTGCAGAGTTGGCCCTCAATATGAGAGCTACATCAACTTCACTATGGAATTTTCAATTTAATAGAGGAGATTAAGTTTTTCCCTCGCATCATCTTATAGAAAAACTGGCTCCACACGTTTCTTCATTTAGCGTTAGAAACTAAGTCAATCTAATGCACAGTTATGAATGCCAAATACCCCCCATACTAAATCAATCCACAGTTGAGCGGACAAGTGAACAATATAGTAAGACTCCATGCAGTCCCAACACAACGATTCTACAATAGTAACAGAATGTCAAAAACTCGTTCAGTATATTACCTTTAAGTCGAGAAGCAACACTTCCATTAGACATATACGGGTACACCAAAAGCTTTTCTGTGGCGGTCATACAGAACCCATATAGCCTAAGAAGGTTCCGGTGCACTGCTAGGCTGATCATCTCAACTTCTGTCTGAAATTGTCTTTCCCCTCCAATGGCACTGCCATCTTTCAGCCTCTTGACAGCCACGGCAGTCCCATCTAGAAGATACCCCTTGTAGACATTTCCAAACCCACCTTTTCCCAGAAGGTTTTTACTGCTGAAGTTGTTGGTTGCTATCTGAAGTTCCGTAAGTTGAAACCTCCTCAAATTTCCAAGAGAAATTTCTTCATGATGCCCATCTGAAATTACCAACAAAAATATTAATACACAACATGAAGAAATATTAATATTGCTCATGTATCAATCAACTTCCATTATCTTTCTCAAACCTTTAACATCAAAAAATTTCTGCTGTTTTTGCCTTTGTCTCATCCACAGAAACAGCCCAAAACCAATGATCAGCATACCAATGCACCCAATGCTTGAACTAAGGGCAAGTGCAAAATTGTGACTTTTTCTTCTCCCCGAAGGTAGAGCGGCTACTAGAAACATGGAGAACAAAGTCAGGATAATCAGAAACATGTACACAAAAATTTGAACAGAGTAAGTCAGTTTAAAAACTCTAATATAATTCAGAATACAAGAAGACATTAACAATGTGTTTTTCCGTACTTTCTGAAGTGTTCAAGGTCATGGACATCGGCATCAATGTTATTCCATGGCACGGTGGCTCTGACCCTGTTGGGCATATTGATGGGTTCCCAACAATACTGCAATGACAATAAAAAAAAAAGGCGTCGATAGAAATTTTGCAATCCTAGTTCCTTATATACATATTTTGATAGAGTTGTAAAACCGTGAACTAGTAGCTTACTTGAAAATCTTCGAGGGGAACCTGGGTAAAGGGCCCATCAAGTTATTAAAAGACAAGTCCCTAAAATAAATAAACATTAAAGAATTTCAAAAATGCTCTTGACATGAACATTTCATCAAAAACTTGAACCAAAATTCAGCAGTCCATGTTAAAGGCTAAAGAGAAATTACACAAGAGAGAGCTGCGTCATGTTGGCTAATGACATTGGAATCTCTCCGGATAGGCTATTATTGTTGAGCCTCCTAATTCAGAGAAATACACCACTTGAGATCAAGAGAGAAGTAACTTCATGGAAAGTTTGTTAGGCAACACTAGACTAGACAGAACAATATACTGAACAAGATTTTAACTTCTTTTATGTTATTCAATCTAATCATTGTATGTGACAAAGAACAAGATTTTTTGGATTTTTATGTTATTTTTTTTATCATCCTTAATATTGTTGTCCATTTCACAGTACCAAACGAGTTGTTAAGTCCTTTTAGTGGTTTAAACTTTGATGCTTACAAGTACTGAAGGGTCTTCAAGTGCCCTAGTGAAGAAGGAATACTTCCATTAAAGAAGTTATCAGAAAGATCAAGAGTCTGGAGCTTTGAGAGCTTTCCAAGTTCTGCTGGGATTGGTCCTGTTATGTTGTTGTTCTGTAATAGGCTGCAAACATTTCATTCATTAAAACCAGCAACATAATATGCAAAACTTATGAACCGTTATATTTAATCAAATCTTCTACTTACATAAATTGAAGATTTTTTAAATTCCCAATGCTTGGAGAAAGAGTACCATACAAATTCTGACTTGGAGTCCCTCTGCATAAGACAATCTATCAACCAAATTAATATACTTAATTTTTCTTAATCCATTTCTTTGTTGAAGATATTCCAAATGAATCTAAAATGTACATATATAGAGTAAGAATTGGTTTTGATTGGGTACAAGACTTACAGGCCAATAACAAGACCTTCGGCAGAACAAGTGACCATAGTCCAGCTACATGGATCAACAGACACACCATCCCAATTATCAAGAACACCGTGAGGATCTATTAAACCAGCTTTTATACCCATTAAAGCTTGGACTGATTACGGAAAAAAAAAAATAAACACTGAGAAAACTTTTAACTTAACTATTGAGACAAAATTTACCAAAAAATAAAAAAACATAATCATATTCACCTTCATAGTTTACACCTGTAGAAGAAAGCAAACAGGTTGCACAGCTCCAGAAGCAGAAAAATGTGAAAATCCAAAATGCCTCTATTTTTCTTGCCATTTCTACTGATTATATTCAAAATAATTATAATAATAATAACAGTAAATAACAGACTAAAAAACCCTGCTTAACTTTATAAATGGAGGTGTTCTATGGACAAGATTTCTAGTGAGTTTCTTCTCTGCATATTAGTTTGTTGCTTTCTAATGCTAGAAACTGATTTTTTTCCAGTTTGCCAGTAAAGAAAAGTTATTCAGTCCTTTCTTGTATAAAGAGAACAAGCGTGCCTGTCCCTGGGTCAGGAGCTTGTCAAGAAAAGAATATTTTACAGACTAAAATATTAGCTGAATATGGATAAATTCTTAAAGGAGATAAGAGGAATATTTCTGGCGTGTAATTGTGTAAATCATGCAAACTTCCAAGTTGTGATAATTTAAATTTTGAGCAATTGATCATGACAGAAAAAAAACAAGTAGTGATATACACTGGGGTGAACGCGGTTCGATTTGAATTTTTCTGGTTGAGCCATATATTGATTTATTGGTTTAAATTTTTATCGCGACAAATATATTTGTATTACAACATTTAGATCTAGAAGAGTTTAATACAATTCTTATATTGAGATTTACTCCAACATATTTATTTATTTCACTTGTTTGAAGATATTATTTTTATATTGCTAAAAACGCGGTCTGAAATCAAATCAAAATGCAAGAAAAGAAATTATTTGGTTTGAATTTGAAAATGAAATTATTTGATTTGGTTTGGAATTTTTCTAAATTGTTTAAAATAGCTTGATTTGAAAATAGTTTAAAAATCCTCAAAATCAAACCGTTATTGCCCTAACTGAAAGTAGACTACAATATCTAATCTATAGGCGAACATGCATGGGAACATTTGCAGAATGTAGGGAAAATAATTCTCAAATTGATTATTAATAAAAATCGGAAGACGATATACATAACTTTTAGATGTGATCATTCATAAAAAGTTAATAAATCGTTCAAAATGTTGCAATTGATCAAGAAAATAGAAGAATTATTTCACTAAAACGTATAGGTGCAACTCTTGAAACAAAAGTATTTTAATATTGTAAATTTTATCAAGTTAAGGGTTTGTTCGGTAGTGATGTTGAAAATTGATCTTTTGACCATTGAAGGAAGAATAGGTCTTATCTGTGAGAGAAGAAGTCAAAAATGGCGGTTTGAATAGTGAAATAACGTTTAAAAATTGATTTTTTGAGTGAAAAATTGCTACCAAGCACGCACTAAATTTTTTCTTTGAAGAATAAGGACTATTTCCCTATTCAAACTACTCCAGTTTTTTCCAACAATAAAAACCAAAAATTTTCTTGGGACATTTAATTCCTAGTCAATGTATTGCTTGGATATTTGTCATTTTCTCTTTGAACTTTATATAAGTGAGATTTTCTAATGCTTGAAATTAAAAACTTGGCACATATGCATGCAAATAATTTTATATTAATAAAATGGCAAGAGAAATGAGGGAATCCAACATCCCCTGAGTTTGGCCATTCAATAAAATCTCAAAATGCATTTACTTTAAAGTACAAACTAATAAGAAGGTGAGAATCTCAAGGTTAAAGTTTAGAAATTGATGATTAATTTAATGGCCTTACCATGACTATAGTCGATATACAAGACCATGAGGAGGGTTTATGGATCTTTATTTGCTGTTTTTACATATATATATTTTTTGCACTTTATTTTACTAGTCGAGTATCTTCAAAGGTGAGACAAATGTAATCACTCATGTCTTATTTGCAATACTTCCCTTCACATATAAATCGAATTCATTTTTTTATCTGATGCACAAGGTGATGACGAAAATTGAACCAAGTTCTCTTGTATGGCTCTGATGTCATTCTAGTAATCTTATCTAAAAGATTAGATTTTAGAGACGACACGTGTCTTTAACAATTATTAGGAATTTTTATTGAAAACCTAACTATTCTCGTAAAAATAAAATCCTAAAAACCATCAAATATGTTGACCAAGCTATAAACATTGAATAGATCTATATGTACAAAGTTGATTGATAAAGTAATATCTATACCAATCATTTCAAAAATAAATTTTTAAATCGTTAAAAATCAATTATCTGAATTTTGCCAATACTTATTTTATCAACCAAATTTGTAAAAATACTTTGTACAAATTGGATAAGGATAAAACTATTTGTACAAAATTTGGTTGACAAAATGGTTTACTCACTCTCACATGCATGCGGGTCCCCTTGGCATTAAAAAATTCGGCCATGTGGTCCCTACCATTCTATTATGAGGGTGTGTAAAACTTTTAATACGAATGTATTTATACATATAGCACAATCCATTAAATAATACTTGAATAGATACAACCCATGACATTTAGAGCATCATATATGGGTAATTCCCTCTACATTAATCATTATTCAATTTGTAAAAATTACTAGAATGTGGGTTGGGTGATGTGATGTATTGACTCTTGAAACAAACATGAGCTAAAGATTTCTAGCTCTTTACTACCATTAGATGACAAGCAGTCCAAGCAACTAACCAAAAAAGATAGTCACTTTAATAATTAAAAAGAAAAGAAGATGCCTCCCACCCATCCCAACCAACTTTATCTTTTCTAAAATGTAAACTCAGGAGGGAGAATATTACTTAGATTCATTCATATTTCGAGGGCGTGATAAGAGAGTGATGATTATGAGGAGACAACCTTGTTTCTTCTTTTCCCTTTGTCTTTAGAGATAATTTCCTAGGATCCATGTGGTAGAGCATTTGTAAAAAGTTGTTCATAAGATTGAGTAGTTGTTTGTTAATATATTTGAATAATTTTTTGAAAATACTTCGACTAATTAGAAGAACTTTTAAAGAAATTTGATATAAGATATTTTTCTCGTAAAACCCTTCTACAAGAAGCAGTGTCAAATGTGTCTCTAATTTCTCCTCTACTTTTGAGAGGAAAAATTATTAGGATCTGTACAATACTTAGCTTTTACGGCGTTTATTTACTATCGCACCTATGTACCTAACTTGCTTTTTCACGTTCCTATCTTGTACCTTCCACCAATTGTCACAATTTGTGTCCTTGATGACGGTTTTCATAATCAAATAGTTTGTCCCTAATTACTGGAGTTAATGGTACCTAATATGCTTGCTCTTTGATATATTTTACTATTGTAAGATATCCAAGTTGTTTGGATAATATGTCGTTGGAATATAATTAGTTATCAATATAAATTAATCACGAGGTGTCGAAGCCTCCGAAAACAATAATTGTTTGTCTCTCGGAGAAAGGAACGATTTCACATATTCAAATGTAAAATATAATCTGTCGAAAGATTAAGGAAATTGGCCAAACATATGAAAAAATAGAACTATATAATACTTTGATATTGAAAATGACCAAAATGTACTGTTTAATCGAATTTTGATCAATTTTGTAACCAATCTTATTTGATTTTAAAAACTATTCGTTAATGAAATTTTAAGATACCACTAAATAAATAGACAGATTTGATCTCATGTCCACGGTGAACATTATAATTTCCGTCCACCGTGGACAGAGTTATAATACCCACCGTGCACAGGAGATCAAGTGTGTGTATATATAAGAAAATTGTTATTTGTACAACATTTGTTTGACAACTTTTTTTTACAGCTATCTCACAAAGGTGGGTTCCACGATTATTTTAATTGTGGACCCCACCCACTTGCATGCGTGTGTGCTGTGAAAAAAAGCTATGAAAATTAATGTACCTATAGCATCTTTCTATATATAATGCACCACATTATAGTTATATTAAAAGTTCTTAACTATTATTTATTTTGACCTTTATGTTTCTAATTTTTCATCACAATGTTATCGTTGACATTTTATTGATTAGCAATTTTTGTCTTTAATAACTATTTTCATCCAAAAGGTTTATTATTTGGTATTAAAACTAAAGACAAATATTTGATCGTAATTTTCAATTTACTATCTTTGTCTTATTCAAGAACACGAGGCTCAAGCAAAGTCTTTTTTTACTTCCTATCGATGGAATTTTCGGACAGAAATAACCGTCAAGAATAAGATGAGCTAACTAAGGTAAGGTTGAAAATAAAATGCAAATAAGAAAAAATCGATGACATAAATATGACAATGGTACATAAATACTTTTAGGAATTCTATATACCTAACCATGATTTAGTTCATACACATGCGGTAATTGTGCAATTTGAATGTTTTCAACTCTTCATTTATGGCCTGCACGGGTTGGCCACAACATAACTTGTCCCCACGAGCTACCCTCGACCGAGCTTATTTTGGGCTCCGAATCAAGCCATCTAATAGTCAAGTTGATCTGGCTAGATAAAGTGTTAATAAATGATTTAATAACGACGAATAAGTAAATAAGAATTGTGAATTCTACATAAAGTATAGATAAAAAATAATATGACCAATTGTAAACAGTTCATAAACATTAGCGAAACATGTGTCTAGTTATGTCCGTATTGATCATCAATTGATTCACATTCAAATAGTCGTAAGCAATGATTTTCTTTATTATATAAATTGTGTTTAATATTTTATTAACTTGGTAATTGGCAGAAATGGGAAGCAATTAAAATGTTTAATAGTAGTGGAAGAGAATCATGAAAACAACATGGAGTGCACAAAAGTAGTCCGCCGACATCCAAACAGGTCCTAAAATTTATCGAATAATTATGTTTAAATATTATTATGTGAAAATGCTTTTTATATAGTATACTCTGTTGGGTCCAGACATAATGACTAGCTTTCAACAGGCGTGCGAAATCGCACGTCTTTTCATTTTATTGTTTGCTTTAAATATTCTAGAAAGAAAGTATGTAGCAACTTCTATTAATTTTTCTATTAGCTTCTATTGTTTAAACTTCTTTTTAGGGTCTGTTTGGAGCAATTTTTTATCTCAAAATTTTGATTTTTTGACCGTTATTTCACTATTCTAGCCATCATATTTGACTTCTCCAATCACAAATGGACCCCACTTTTCTCCTAACGGTCAAAAAATCAATTCTCAAAATCATTCCCAAACATGCTCTTAGTATTTTGTATCAATCAAAAATTTTAATGTACCATAAATTTAGGGAGCTGTTCACAAATTCCTAAAGAGGCTCCCTTCATAAACGTGTTAATGAAAAAAGTGGATTAACTAAATTCTATATACATATATATCTCATTATTTTCATTTTCTTGTACATACGATATGCATTATTAAACACTTGTCCAAGAAATGTCCCTAATGTATCATATGCGTCAGAAATTTAAAAAATGTGTGAAACAAATACATGCAATGTGGCTTATCGAACCCTTGTCATGGAGTGTGCGCGATTCTTGAGGTGGTCCAACACATCATTGTACATGTCAAACGTAGATATAACTTCCTAGTAAAAGTGTACGTGCATGCTAACCAAGGATCTCAATAGCAACAACAAAGATTTACAAGTCAGCAACAAACTCAGGAAGTAAATCTAACGGAAACAGCATCAAGTTCGTTAAGAACAAACCAAATTAATCGATAAACACTATATTTATCTGTCAGTAATAGGAATATACAAATGTTAAAGGAGACATTTTCACAGAGCAAAATAATCTTTCAGCATACGCTAAAACTCTTACAAGCTATGTCATCTGCAATTCGAAATTAGGCAGAAATCAGAATATTGATCTGTTTCACATAACTCAGTACTTCTACTCCTATTCAGAAGCACAAGAAACAACAAAATAATGTCTCTCAATGTTATAAAGCTTATAGCTTCTAATCGAACTACATTTGTTTATGACCAGAATGAAAACAAGAACAATATCCCAAATCCTATTACAGATTGCTCTGCCATGTCTTTTAAGTTTTTTAGGCATGCACAATCAGAAGGAAGTTAGGCCTGTGACGGTAGGAAATTAACCGCTTTCAAGATCAAATAAAATTAGCAAATTGATTACTTCTAGTTTCATAGCATTTTATTGATTTTTCCAGCAGAAAGAAATCCAGGGGCATCACAATATGCTCAAAACAAATAAGAACCAAACCTGGGGAAATTAAAAACAGAAGAGAAGGAAGTCATGACCATACACCTATTAAAACCAGAAAAATTGGTGAAATATAGCACTAAAGACATCCGGAAGAGGAAGGAAACTGTAAGCTGAGTCTGTAACCAACTTCTAGATCAATCACTATTCCATGATACACTTTTTGAAATTAAAGGGGGTACAAACAGGCCCTAAGATTAAAATGTGCCGCAAGGAATCAATCATCTTATTTTCATAAAAGCCAAAAGAATGTCCTACAGTACTATCTCCTCTTTCCAAGGATCAAATCAACACTAGAATACAACGTTGCAGAGGTTTTGAAAGCAGGGCTAGTTCAGGTTGACAAAGTAAGCTCCAATTTTAATGCTTTAAGGATCCACTTCAAATGTAAACGCCTCAAACTGCTATCATTCGTCAATCAGCATATTGATGTAAACATATTGAAGTTAATAATAATAACTCATCAAGAGCTGACAGGCAACATAAAACAATAATAGAAAAAGAAGTGAGTCGGGCTAGACAGATGAGAACTTCTGTGGTTTCCAGCTTCAATTTTATCAAATTATGTAAGGCATGCTCCCCAAGAGAAAAATTCAATGGAAAAAGAGGGAACAGTTCCTTTTTTTTCAATCACATGCCCTACCATTATGATGTCAAAAAAAGAACAATGTGTCATACATCTCTCTGAGTCCTATGCAGTGACAGCAGCAGTCTCAGCTGCATCTCCAGATTTTATGGAACAAAACAGATTCAAAACATCAGCATGATTTCTTATATATCTAGGGCACTTTGATAAGAAGTCCTGTGCTTCACTTCGCCTCCCCTTTTTAAAATATGCTTCAAAAAGACGAAGATATATGGACATTGATGGCAAACTCTTCGAACTTGTGGCTTTTGAAAATGTTACAGCATCATCTGCACTGCCAACCTTTGAGAGGTACGCAATAAACGGATTCAAGTATGGTGGATACCCTTGATTTTTCATCAAAGTCATAACATCCAAAGCCTCTAAAAAGCGTTTTCGAGCTAACAGCTTGCTCGTCAATTCTTTATATGTACTGTGCCAAGGACGTAACCCTTTTGAATTAACCATTTCAGAAACAAGCTTGAATGCGTCCATTGCTCTGTTCTTTCGGCAATATGTAATACTCAACATATCTAAAGCAAACACAACAGATGAGGCCCCTTCTTTTTCGACCATCTTTCGAAATCTATCAGATGCTTTATCCAAATCACGAGCTTCACAATATCCTTTAATTGACGAAACCCATGCTTTGTAATCATCAACAGTCCCAGATGCTTCCATGTTATCCAAAAACTCAAGTGCTTCCTCTGCTTTTCCACCACTACTAAGCTGGAAGGCTATCTTATTCTGCAAATAACCACTAGGTAGATAAC